TTCTAAGTTATGAAATTTTTTCATTTTAAACCCTAATTTGTATTTTTAGGTTTCTTGATGAACAAGTTTCATAATTTGACATGTCTTGATGAAAAATGACCCTTGGCCCTTGATTTTGACTAAAAAGTCAAAGTTTTGACTTTTCAGTATACAGTCAAATTTTGATCAGTTGACTGAAAAATTCATCTGTCAATCCTATGCATTTGAGGTCTTTTGACTTGTTGAGTGGGTCAAGACAAAGTCATTGGGTCCTTGAGTCCATATGTGAGCTTGGTTTGCCATTGGTTAGGTCAAACAGTCAAGAATAAGAATTGCCTTTGTACAGTCAAAACCCTAAAAATGACCATTTTGCCCTTTTGGTGATCTGATCAAATTTCTTGTGGAATTGTGGTCCAAACTTGATCAAATGGTTCATATGAGTTCATAATGTTGTTGTGGATCAAATTTCATGAGGTTTGACTGTCAATTGGCCACAGTTGACTTTTCCTCAATACAATTGATTTCTAGGTCAACTGTCCAATTGACTGGGCAAAACTTTGAATCAAAGCCTGAAACTTGGTAAGGACAAACTTGTGAGTCCAACATGAAGTATGAAAGTCACTTTGGGCATTTTAGGTCAAAACATCCCTGTGCAAACTCAAACCCTAATTTAGGTCAACAGTGCAAGGAGGGGTCTTGAGCAGAATAAACCCTAGCTTGATCTTGAGTTTCAAGAGTATTGTGATGAGAAAGTGTTGATGAAATGAGAGAGCAAATTTTGGGGTACAACACTACCCAGCATCCTCATGACTCTGCACCACCAGTACCAGATGCACCACTTACAACTCCATCCTCTAGTGTGCCTGCTTCTACTCCTTCAACGTCGATCTCCCGTAGCAGGAGAGATTCTCCTGTTCATCCTTCGCTACCCCGTCCTCCCACATACGCACTTCCTCACCTAGCATAGTTGAGGTGGGATCCACATCTGGTATCCAGGCGACACCTGAGGCCAATGCATTATCACAACATCAGTCTTAGACGCCACCTGAGGCGGTTCTTAGTCATCCCAGGCACTTGAGGCGACACCCCGAGACTGCACCTGAGGCTACACCAGCTGCACCTGAGGTTGCACCAGCAACACCTGAGGTCGCACCAGCTCAGCTTGCACCTGCGGCGCCTCAGGCTTTTGGAGGAGGACCGTTTGATTTATCACTTCTGCCTCTTTATCCCAACCATGTTGTTAGATATATCTGCCATACTCAGTAGTTTATGCTGATGCATTTGTATTTTAGTCTTAGTGTTTTGGTATTATATTGTATCGTATTTGTACTTGGATTACATTTTGGTATTGTACGACTCTATCACAGTGTATATATATATATATATATATATATATATATATATATATATATATATATATATATATATATATATATATATATATATATATATATATATATATATATATATATATATATATATATGTCTTTTGTTCTATTTGTGATATGTATGATTTGTACAAGTTTTAATTTGTGATGTTAAAAAAACGAAAAATATATTTCCTTGTAAATCTGGTTTTTCTGTTACTGACAATATTATAATAAAAAATATATTGCTGATTTAAAACCGAAACTATATTTCCAATTTTAAATTAAATTTAAAAAAAAATACACTAGAAATATATTTTCAATTTAGAAGATATTATAAGAATTACATATGGTTTAGTTTTTCCATTGGGGGTAAGAAATAATAACCTACATACATTGAATATATAGAATATTGAAGAAGTGACCAAACATAATTCTTCTTCTACATGACATGTTACATGGTATTGTTCGTTCCTGTCACCCCCGTTTTTCACCTAAACCGCAGCAACAGCAGCTTCTTTAGAATCCCATCATCAAAATCACTTTCCAACTTTTCTTCATCTTCTTCAACTCATCATCATCATCATCATCATCATCCAATGGTGTCTCTTCTTGTTGCAACAACAATCGACCCGGCTTCAATCAACCCGGCCAATGCCCTGCTAGCCCTACCAGGATGGCTACCCGGACCTCATTTTCAGGTTCAAACCACCAAAAACCAACTTCTTTTTCTTGTTTACTCTCTTAGTAATGTTTTGTAGTAATTGGGGGTTTATGAATTTAGGATGATATGAAGAGTTTTGTGAATCAAGGGTTGAGGATTTTGCTTCACGGAAAGAGTATTGTGGTAGAAGATAATTTGGATGAAAGGTGGGAAAAGGTTACTGGAGAGGTTGTTGATGAAGTTATCTTCTTAAGTAAACACACTGCTGCTTCTAATAAACCCGCTCTCACTGTTCATCCTATTGGTATTTTTTAACTCACCTTTTCATTCTTTCTGCCTCGCCATATCATTACCATCACCGACTGTGTGTTTTTGCAGGAGTTCCTCATTTGCGTGAAGGTGACGTTCCGCCTCAAGGTGGGAAACCAGGATGGGCAGCACTGCCCAATCCTAGGATTGGACCTTGGATTCGACTTTTGAAAAATATTGCTCAAGCTCATAATCTACTCCCTGAATTTGAGGTTCTTTTTCTGTTTTCAGTATTGGAGCAAGAGGTTTTGACTTTTGAAAAGCACTTCTTGAATAATTTTTATGTGTTTCCTCAATTTAGATTACTTTGGAGGCCACTCATCATGGACCTTTGACAAACAAGCCAACCATGTTTCTCGAGATTGGTGAGATCTCTTTCTCTCCTCCTAGATGTATTTTAGATTGATTCATTCTTCAGAGTTAACAAGAGTTACAAAAGATGTCAACGGTTAACTACAATTTGAGCATAGGTTAACAACTTTATTTCTTCTGTTCTCTGGTATAGGTAGTACTGAAGACTATTGGAAGAGACAAGATGCTGCTCAAGTTATGGCTCAGGTTGACTTTACCTTTCTACTTTTCATAACCTTTGCATCAATATGTATAGCTTCTCTGTATGGATACTTTTATTTTTGTTGCAAAAAGCTAAATGCTTTGTGCAAAAATAATCTGGCTAGTAGTATTTTATTTTGTTTAATGAAATGATGTTGTTTTCGAATTCTTACAGTTAGTTTGGGAAGGACTTGGACTTGGAGGAGGGACTGATGTTGGGAACTGGAGCAGGTAGAATGATTATGTTAAGAAGTTGTACCAATGTTTAGTTGAGATTGACTTATTTGAGTTTCTCTACTGATAGAAACATGAGATTGTTTGTGAGGGCTTATGAAAATAATTAATGACATGTGCATAAGTTGTTTTCAGTTTATTTCCTTAAGCTCTTCAAGATAGCTTATGAAAAGCGGTTAGAGTTTTTTGTATGAAAACAATTTTATTTTAGTTTGTCATTTGCTATCAAAATAAGCAAATCTATGCTATAATCACTTAATTAAGTGCCTTCCTTCTACAATCGGTGAAGATTTTCTAATCTGAATCTAAATTTGACACTCCTACAGGGCAAATGGTAAGAAGAAAGTCCTTCTTGGGATAGGCGGTGGACATTATGTGCCTAGACATATGGATGTAATACTGTAAGTAATCATTTTCAGTGAACATGGAATTGAATTTTCTGATTATGTCAATGTGAGGTTAGAAACTATTCTCAAGTCTCAACATCTTTAACAGTTAACTTTTGAGTTATTTTGAAAACCCGTTACTTTACTCGGATATTTACATAGAGTTTTGCAATCTAACCTTACTGCCTTATAAAAGGAATAGATAAGCATTTAAAAGAAACGTGAAAATAATACTTGCTTTTCGTTTGCGATATAGGAAAGATGATGTTTGGGCTGGTCACCTACTTTCGGGATATTCAGTGCCAATGGAAGATCCAAAAGGAGAAACAAATGTGGAGATTGGAGGAACTTGGAAACAGTCTATAAAAGCTGCATATGAGGCCACTAAATCTGCTTTTCCTGGTGGCGAAATTCTTGCACACCTTGATCAAAAGTAAGCTTAACGAGACATTATCCTTCTGAAAACAGTTGTTGAAAACAGTTGTTTACATGCATGCAAAGCATTAACTGAAAGCTATATGATAATTGAGGGCTCAAAAGTTCATAAAAAATCATCCGCAACTACAACGCATGAAAGTTTTTGTTAATAGACCATAATGCTTTTACTTTTTGCTCAAGCTATTATATACTCTGAAATTTATCGCAGGAGCTTCAAGGGATGGCAGAAGAATGCCATAACAGGATTCCTTGCAGAGCAGAATATTAAAATTGGAAAGCCAAATAACTTCTATTGAGTATCGATTTTAGAGTATGATATTGTGAATACTGAATACGCAGATTGCAGACAGAGACAGACTGAAATTTTTTGTAGACCTGACTAGCACTAAAAGTGATTTTGAAGTGCAGTAATTTAAAGATGAAATTTTAGAGATTTTTAAGAAAAGCACAAGTTATTTTGGTTTGTTTACAATTAGGAAAAGTGATTTTGTATTTCTCTTTACTATAAATAATTTTGAGGTGCTGTAGAATTTGGAGAATTGTACTCTAGATCATTGTTGAAAAATGTATGACAGATTAATATGAATTTATTTGCCTTTGGCAATATATTGTGTTAAAGATATGTACTATATAAAATATAGATCGTTTCATGGTTATAAATCTGCTGCTGAGTTCAAATTGGATGTTTAATCACATTTATAAATTAGTACCTTATTTGAAGCCAATGACCAACGCTATTTTTAACATAAGAAAAAAAGAAAAATTTAATTAATTGTTACATGATGAAAAAAATCGGTCAAGATATATTTAGTTTCAACTTATTCACCTCTAGGTTCCTATGTCATTCTTTGATGTAATGAATAATTTGAAGATAAGAGTTGATGAATGATGGATGGTTGTGTGCATCGAAGAAGATATCATGAATATTGTATGTCGGAAATCATTTTAATATTTAAATAATTTTTTATTTTAATATTTAAGCAATTTTGATTTTATTTGTTTTATTTAATTATGTTTTGGATTAAAGGTCTATTAGGGTTATTTTGTTTTATGTATTCAAAGACATTTGGCATGACCATAAGGGTTATCTTTCATATTATAAAGTTTGAAGTTTTCGTTATCTCTGGTGGACTTCAGAGCTTATCTGATAGGTTTTACGCTTGTAACCCTGTGTTTTATTCTAGGTTTGCGCTTGCAACCCTATTTTTATTCTAGGTTTAGCGCTTGCTAATCCTAAGGGTTTCTGATTATGGCTGATTAACCGGTGATCAGAGCAGATCTTGAGGAAATTACCGCGGTTTTTACGGTGACTCTAACTGCTTTGATTGAACAGATGACAAATTTAGCAAATCAGGTGAAGAACAATAACAACATGAATCAACGAAGAGACATGAGAAGAGAACATGTTAGGCTTCCACGGGGTGGAAACAATCATCGTGTTTTTATTGCTGAAAATTTGAGTTCCGAAGAAGAAGAATCCTATGAGGAAGAGGTCGTTGATCATGGAAAACGACATAACCATGATTATCGAGGGAATGCTAATATTCTATTATTCTATGAAACGATGGGAATGAAGGAGTTTTTGGATTAGAAGATTGACGTCGATAGGTTCTTCTACGTTATGGGCGTCCCTGAGGACAAGCAAGTTAAGATGGTAGTAATCAGGTTTAAAAATACTGCAGCTGTCTGGTGGGATAAACTTGTTGTCCAAAGACAGCGACAAAGAAGGGACCAATCAAAACTTTGCGAAGAATGAAACAATTGATGTTGGAGTAATTTTTATTGGAGGATTATGAACAGATTCTTTATAAGTGTACATCGAGTGTGTTCATGGCAAGAGAATCGTGACTGAATACACAACTGAGTTCCTACGATTTTCTGATCACAATGAATTGGGAGAATCAAAGAGCCAGAAAGTGGCTCGATACATCAGTGGCCTAAAGAGATCCTTGCAAGAAAAGACGGGTTTATAGACTGTATGAACCGTAGCTAAAGCATCCAATTTAGCTTTGAAGGCAGAATTGATAGAAAAATCCCCTCGAAACTTCCCGTCTTTTAAAAGGTACTCACCCCAGAATAACTCTGAATCAACAGGTCACAAAGAAAATAATACAACACCTCGGGATTCCAACCCCGAGAATAAAGAAGCTAGCAACTCTAACTGTATGCAGCAGGGTAAAACACCAATTCAGAAGCAGAATAATCCATATGCTAGACTCGCTATAGACATATGTTATCGTTGTAACAGAAGACGCCACAAATCGAATGTTTGCCCAACAAGGAGAGTCACTACTATTGTGGAAGAAATGGAGAAAGATGAAGAAAGAGAAGATCATGCAGTTGAGAACGATGAATATGCTATTGTTGAGTTTGCAGAGGAAGAATCTGATGAGAAGGTAAATTTTGTGTTGTAGAGAATGTTACTAGCATCCAAAGATGAAGGCAGTGCAAAAATTTATTCAAAACACATTGTTCTATCAAGAACAAAGTGTGTAATCTGATTGTGGATAATGGCATCACAAAAATTTGGTGTCGCGAAAATTGGTAGATTATTTGAAGTTGTCTAGAGAATCGCATGAGAAGCCATAGACCCTTAGTTGGGTAAGTAGGGACTCACAAGTTCGAGTAACATTATCCTGAAGAGTTCATATCTCTATCGAAAAGCATTACAGAGAAGAGGTACTTTGTGATATTCTTGATTTGGATGATGGTCATATTTTACTTGATAGACCTTGACATTTTGATAATGATATCACTTATCGAGGATGGGATAACATGATGATATTTATATGGGGCACACATAAAATTGCTATGGCTCCTGTTTTAAACTTTGATAAGAATGCAAGAGGAAAAAAATCTAGTTTCTTGGTGATGACGTAGTGTAAAGGGGCTTAATGAGGCTGTAAAACAAACTGAATGTTTATGTCCAGTGGTGATCAAAGGGTTGATGAATGTTGTAAAGGAAGAAACAACGATTCCAAAAGAAATGCTGAGATCCTCGAGGATTTCAAGGCGTTGACTGTAAAGGAATTACCAAATGATTTTCCTCCTATGCGAGATGTTCAACATCAAATTGACCTTATCCCAGGGTCTAGCTTACCAAACCTTCTTGACTATCGTATGAGCCCCAAGGAGAATGAGATTTTAAAAGAGCAGATTGAAGCTTTGTTGAAGAAAGGGTTTATTCAAGAGACCATGAGTCCGTGTGTAGTACCAGTCCTTTTAGTCCATAAGAAAGGAAATCAATAGCGAATGTGTGTTGACAGCCGAGCCATCAATAAGATAACTATCAAGTATCAATTTCCAATTCCCCGTTTGGAAGGCATGTTTAACGAGTTGGCCGATTTTAAGGTGTTCTCAAAGATATATTTGCATAATGGCTATCATCATATCATAATCAGACTTGGAGATGAATGGAAAACAACTTTAAAGAGCAAAGATGGATTGTATGAGTGGTTGGTGATGCCTTTGGTTTGTCAAACACCCATAGCACCTTCATGTGGTTGATGAATAAGGTTCTGCATCCGTTTATAAGTTCTTTTATGGTGGTTTATTTTGATGATATTCTAATTTACAGTAAGACAAAGAAAAAGAATTTGCAGCATGTGAGGAAAATGTTGCAAGTCTTACAGGAGAATTAGTTGTACATTAATCTGAAAAAATGTACATTCAACACCAACAAGTTACTTTTTCCCGACTTTGTTGTTGGTGAATAAGGGATTCCAGTTGATGAAGATAAGGTGAGTGATATAAGGGAGTGGCCTGCACCTAAATCTGTGTCTGAGGTTTGTAGCTTTCACGGTCTGGCAACCATCTATAGGAGGTTTATCAAATATTTAAGTACTATCATTACACCTATTACTGAATGTTTGAAGAAAGGGAAGTTCAATTGGGGGTTTGAGAAAGAACAAAGTTGTGCGCTGATTACGAAGAAGCTATGTACCACACCAGTATTAGCACTTCTCGATTTTGACAAGGCGTTCCAAGTAGAATGTGATGCTAGTGGAGTGGGAGTAGGAGCTGTGTTATCTCATGAGAAGAAACTTATAGCTTTTTTTCAGTGAAAAGTTAAGCGATGCCTGCCAGAAAGGGAGTACTTATGATCAGGAATTCTATGCAGTCTTTATAGCTATACGACAATGGAAACATTATTTGGTTCAATGGGAGTTCATTTTATTCACCGATCATCAATATTTGAAGTTTCTTCATAGTCAGAAGGTGATAAACAATATGCATGCTCGGTGGATGAGTTTTCTACAGAAAATTCACTTTATTATTCAGCATAAGTCAAGGACTCTTAACAAGGTAGCAGATGCATTGAGTAGGAGGGTTTCCTTACTAATCACATTAGCACATGAGATAATAGGTTTTGAGTACCTGAAAGAGTTGTATGAAAGTGATGTTGAGTTTAAAGAGTTATGGGTTAAGTGTAGTGGAAAACATTCTTGTATAGATTTTCATATTCGAGATGACTATCTTTTTAAGAGAGACCGACTATGCATTCCTTGCTCCTCTTTAAAACAGAAGCTAATTTGAGGCCTGCATGGTGGTGGTCTTAGCGGTCATCTGGGTAGAGAAAAAAAACTATTACTAGTCTAGAGAAGAGATATTATTGGCCACACTTGAAGACGAATGCTAGTACTATAGTTATGAGGTATTATATTTGTCAGGTTTCTAAGAGCCAGTCTCAAAATATTGGTCTTTATATGCCTTTACCTATTCTTGATGATGTTTGACAAGATTTAGTCATGAATTTTGTGTTAGATTTGCCTCGTACACAGAGAGGTGTAGATTCTGTGTTTGTTGTAGTAGATAGATTTTTCAAGATGACCCATTTTATTGTTTGTAAGAAGACTGTTGATGCATCCAACATAGCCAAACTATTTTTCTGGGAGGTTGTGCGTCTTTACGGGGTTCCTAAGGCTATGTTTAGATTGATGGAACACAGCGGAGCAGAGTGGAATGGAACATAACGAAGCATAATGGAACGAAGCGAAATGAAATATAAATTTTACTCCATTGTTTGGTTATTTTATTTAAAATGTCTCATTGCATCCCATACACCATAAATTGGATGGAACAAAAAAAAGAGAGAAATTGGATGGAATATGATGGAATGCATTCCATCATGTTCCGCTCCATTCCATCATCTTTTTACTAATCCAAACTATGGAACATAATATTATTTCATTTCATTCCGTTGTGTTCCATCAATTCAAATATATTGTTTCAAAATTCCAAACCGCACCGAATTGTTAGAAGACAATTTTCTCGAACCGAACCGTTAAACTATTTTTTATTTTAAATTGAAACTTATTTTTAGTATTTTTCATTTTCAGTTTTAGTTCACTTCACTTTAGTTTCAGTTTTGGTTTGGTTCGGTTCTATATCTGGTTATGTAATATAGTTTAGTTCACTAACCAAACATAACGATTTGATTATTTTAACCTCAATTCAATTCGATTCACCGATTCAGTTCAATTCATAATTTTTTTTGAACAACCTAGTTAGAGTTTAAAAGTATCAGAAGCACATGTCTCACGTGTTAGAGTTCAGAAGTTGCATGCAGCATGTTTCACGTGTTGGAGTTTAGGAGTATCAGCGATACATGTTTCACGTGTTAGAACTAAGGGGCACGCACATGTTTCACGTGTTGGAGCTCCATTGAAGCAGTATAAATGAGCCCATACACCATTCTCAACTCTCACTATCTTTCTTATTTCTATCATATTCTCCACACTGACCGAGAGTGTATAGCATATCAATGTAATGCATCACCTTTTTGTGGATGCGGGCTACAACTCCATGAAGTAGAACAAAGTTTCCACGTGGTATGAGTTCATGTCAACCACATGATGTCTTTTTTAATGTACAATTATTTATATCCTGATATTGTTGATATTCTGTGTCAACATTTGTTGATATTCTCCCTTAAACAGACAGTTTCTTTATCTACATAAAATCCACATGGATTGTGATGTCAATTCTTTTTTCTTCTATAAACTTCCCATCTTTATTTTTTCAAGATCAATGGCCAATTTCGGCAATTCCAATGCCTTTATTGCTGTAGTATTAGTAGAGCAACATATTCCTTCCTTCCTTTTGTCAAAGGTATCTTTAGCTCACAATAGAGTACTGGAATCAAGGACAACGAGCAAAGTATCGATTCCATCATTCTTTCTAGTTGAAAATAATTTATATTTTAAGAATATCTAAAAATATCTTTTTATATTTTAGTATTATATCTCAATTTTGTGTATAAATAGCTTATAGTAGGTAAGTCAATGTAATTCATTATTTCTTATTTTGTAGCCGTCATTAAATATATTTCTTTTGTCTTTCATCTCTCCGTTGTGCACCAACAATTAGTATCAGAGTTCCGGTTTGAAATCCACAGGAAACACGGGAAATACACGTGAACAATGAGGTATTATTGAGAATCGTTTTTCTGATTCTGTGGGATTTGAGAAACAATTTTAGTGAGTTTTTGAGTGAATTGCACAAGGTTGAAGATAAACGAAAATAGCAATATAAATTCCAAGCTTCCAGTGTTTGATGGTAAAAACTAGAATTGTTAGACGCGTGTGCTGTTTGGTTCTCAAGATGTGTTAGATCTTGTCACCGATGACTATGCTCTGTTAACAGCAGACGCGACAGAGGCTCAGAAGATTACACAGAAGGCTCTAAGGAAGAAAGATCAAAAGGAGTTATTCTACAGCCATCAATGTGTGGATGCGAACGTGTTTGAGAAGATTGATGACTCTGAAGCAACAAAGGTTGCGTGAGACACACTGGTCAGATGTTATGATGGTGACGCATCAATGAAGAAGGTGAAGCTCCAGTCCTTCAGAAAGTAATATGAGAATCTCAACATGAAGGACAACAAGAAGGTTTCTGAGTACATCTCTAGAGTGATTTTGATCACTAATGAGATGAAAGCTTGTGGAGAAACTCTTTCTGAACAAGTAATCATTGAGAAGATATTGAGATCTTTAACTTCTCAATTTGATTACATTGTGGTAGCAATTGAACATTCCAAAGATATGAGCACCATGAGAGTTGAAGAGCTATAAAGTAGTCTAGAGGCGCATGAGTTGCGTATGACTGAGAGAACTTCTGAGAGGGAAGTAGAGCAACAGGCTCTGAAAGTAACTTCTGGTAAGAAGTATCAGAAGCAAACTTGGTTAGAAGCCAGGAAGAAAACTAATGGTGATCAAAAGTCAGAAGCTTCAAACTCTGATAGGCAGAAGAATATCCAAAAGGGAAAGGAGAAGTCTGACAAGAAGAATGTTCAATATTACTGTTGCAGGAACTTTGATCACAATGCCAAAGATTGCTGGTCAAACAAAGAAAAGAAGTTAGAAGAAGAAAATATAGCCAGAGGAGACTCTGATGATGAAAATGTGTTATTTATGGCTTATGAATCTGATGAGAAACCATTGAAATTGTCATTTTCTGATTCTGAAGGGGAAGAAGATGACTCTGAATATTCTGACTCTAAAAGAGTATTTGAATATGATTCAGAATCAGAAGATGATGCTGAAGATTCTGATGATGAGTCAGAAGATGATGACTCTGGAAACTCTGAAGGTGAGACAGATGGTGAATCTGATTCTTATCTAGATTTTGATGTTGATCCAAAATCTGGTGGTGATCATGCTTCTAGAAGGGAAAACTCTAAAGACGTAGGTTTTGGAGGACAAGCTTCTAAATATGATCATGTTTCTGGTGGAAATCATGACTCTAAGGATGGATCTTCTGAAGGAAATTCAGCCTTTGACGATGATCATAATTTTGAAAGTAGAACTTCTGAAGGTAGAGGTGATCTAACTTTTGAAGATGGTATTTCTGAAGGTAGTGACTCTGACTCCGATGGTGATTCAGACTCTGGGAATTTTCCAGACTCTGAAGGCAATCAAGGTTCTGGAGAAAGTTCAATTTCTGAAGCAAGAGCTTCTGAAGGGGAAAGTTCTGGTGTCTGAGGTTCTGAAGTTCAAATTTAGAGGCAACAAAGAGTCAGAAGCATCCCAAGAAGATTTGTAGAGTTTGACATGTTACAAGATACTGAAGTAGACTCCGAATGAGAAGTTATTCAGTGTGCAATGTTAGTAGACTATAAACCCGTGAGTATGGAAGAGGCTCTTAAGAAGCAAGTCTGGTTGCAGGCCATGAAAGAAGAACTTGATGCTATAGAGAGAAATAAGACTTGGAAGCTGACATAACTTCCAAAAGGCAAGAAAGCCATTAGCGTCAGATGGGTTTTCAAGCAGAAGCTAAAGCCAGATGGATCAATTGGCAAACACAAAGCAAGATTAATAGTAAGAGGCTTTCTACAGAAGCCTGGGCTGGATTACTCTGAAGTGTTTGTACCTGTAGCGAGACATGAAACAATCATACTAGTGATTGCAATAGTTGCTAACAGGAATTGGCCTCTGATGCATTTAAATATAAAATCTGCATTTTTCTGAATGGTCTATTACAAGAAGAGATATATGTGCCACAACCTTCTAGATTTGAGAAAAAGAATCAGGAAGAGATGGTGTTCAAATTACATAAAGCCTTATATGAATTGAAGCAAGCGCCTAGAGCATGGAATATGAAAATTTATTCATTTTTCAAGGGACAAGGGTTTCATAAGTGTGAGATGGAGTATGGTGTTTATGTTAAGCATACTTCAGAAGGTAATATGATTCTGGTATGTTTGTATGTTGATGACATATTGCTCACAGGAAGCTCTGAACAAGAGATAGCTGAGTTCAAGAAGGTTCTGATGAATGCGTTTGAGATGACAGATCTTGGGAAAATGAGTTTCTTTCTAGGGATAAAGTTTATGTACTATGAGAAAGGAATTATTTTGTATCATATGAGGTATGAACTTGAGCTTCTGAAGAGATTTGAGCTAGAGAATTTCAAAGTTGTTATCACACCCGCTGATACAAACCAGAAGTTAGAATCTAATTCTGATGGAAAGGATGTGGATGCTACAACCTTCAAGCAGTTGGTTGGTTCTCTGAGGTATTTGTGTAATATCAGGCCTGATATTTTTTATACAGTTAGAATGGTTAGCAGATTTATGAGTAAACCAAAGTGGCCTCGTTACCAAGTTGCTGTCAGGATTCTGAGGTATGTGAAGGGAACTTTGAAGTATGGAGTGTTATTTCCTTTTGGAAGAAAGATTGAATCAGAACTTCTAAGTTATTCAGACTCTGATTGGTGTGGAGACATAGTTGACAGAAGAAGTACTTCTGGATACTTATTCAAATTTATGGGAGGTCCTATTTCTTAGTGTTCCAAGAAGCAACTTGTTGTTGCGCTGTCAACCTGTGAAACTGAATATATTGCAGGTGCTCTGACTGCATGTCAAGTTGTGTGGATTCTAAACTTGCTGCAAGATCTGAAGATTGAGGTAGACAAACCTTTGAAGTTGATGATTGTTAACAATTTTGAAATCAATCTTGCAAGAACCCAATGCTGCATGGGAGAAGCAAGCATATTGAGACCAAGTATCACTTTCTGAGGAATCAAGTTCAGAGTGGAATATTAGAAGTTGTGCACTGTAGCACTCAGAAGCAGCTGGCAGATATTATAACAAAGGCTATCAAGACTGATCAATTTATTTGTTTGAGGGATGAAATTGGTGTTGTCAGTTTTGTGTAAATATAAATTAAGGGATGATGTTGGAAATAATTTATATTTTAGGAATATCTTTTTATATATTTGTTAGAGGGTATTTTAGTATTTTATTATACCATAATTTTATGTATAAATAGCTTAGTAGTAGGTAGGTCAATGTAATTCATTATTCCTTATTTTGTAGCCGTCATTAAATATATTTCTTTTGTCTTTCATCTCTCCTTTGTGCACAAATACTTCTCGCAAAGGTGTCGCCGCTTTCTGCGGACATCAAGACGGGCTTTCTTGCCTCGGTCCCTATTGAAGAAACTATCCTATGCGTCTTCTAAAATGTCACAACTTCTACTAAATGTGTTCAACAACCTTTCTAAAACCATGATGAAGTCTGTCAAAGAGTGTGAGAATCCCGCTAAAACAGGGAAGAAGAAAAGTTATCAGTTTTCTCTCGAAGGAATGGTGGATTTTGCCACGTCCGTGTTGGGGCGTAATATAATGTAATTGGTGATAAATCTATTACATGTCATTTGGTTTCCATCGTTGTTGCACTACTGCCACTATGTACCAAGGTTCGCATCTATGACGTTGATATTTGGAAAATAAAATCTAAACAGAAGATTAATAATGGTGTTGTGGTGTACCATTTGGACGCTAGTTCTTAAAACTCTACTTACATTGTATTTGCAGTTCTCAGCTACGGACTTGGTCAGGTAGAAGCCTGCCATTGGATTTTTGAGAATGATCTCGTCTAGATTGCTGCCTAGAATGTTTAATGAGTTATCTTTTAAGTTTAAGTTTTCCCGTAAGGCTAAATGTTTAATGATATGTGTTTTAATTACCCTACCGTCTGCCTAGGATGTGTCTCTCTGTGTCCTTTATTTTTTTTTGGAATGTATGATGCATATTATGTAAGTTTTAAGATAATGTTTAATTATTTATGTTTTAGTTATCCTACTGTCTGTCTTTGTCTTTATTTTCTGGAATGTATGATGCATATTATGTCTGGATGTTGTCTGGATTAAGCATAGGATGCATTTGTAACCTAACTAATCTTTAACTAATTGTTCATTCCTTAGCTCTGCTTTTTCGGCATTGTCGTCATGAGTCATCTTCGCTAAACAGTTGGATATCCAAGGCTCTAGTATCTCATAAAACAACATGCATCAGAAAATTGAGGACACCCCACTAATGCATACACTTGAACATTTCAGTTCAACACAAGTGAAAAAATGTTAAACAGCGCAAAACATAGAAGATCATATAATCAACATCCTCAACTCAACTGTTTGGTGATCTATTTTAAAATGCATGTTACTATTCTAAAGTTTGCATAATCTTTTATTACCTATGTGATTTTTTTACTGTTTCTTATGACTTTAAAGATTTCTTAAATGTTAAACTTGTCTGCATGGGAGACCATACGTGATGTTCCAATAAAATTCATTATAGTTACAAGCTATTCAAATTCAATATAGCTATTGGTGAAACTTAATAATTGGTTATAGAGAAAAATAGACAATTTAAACCTGACCAGCTATTAAAATTTTAACTTTGTTAGTTACGCTGGTTCTCGTAAACCAACATCTAAGTTATATTTTTATAATCGCCAATAGGTTAAGAGCTTTAATTTTTGTCTTAGAGTCATAGACTCTATATTATTAGATCTCAAAAAATTTCTAAATATGACTAGGCCAATGAGTGCATTACAACTTACCCTAATCCCCGCTAAAACTGCTTGCTTGATACGGCATGCAATTTTATTTCTCCTAAAATTTCAAGTGAATTAAACATGGAATGAAATAAGTAAAATATGATATGAAATGAAAGACAACAATACACCTTGTTCTCATGAAATGAAATAAACATGGTCCAGTAGAATAATACACCAATTAAAAAGAGAAACTTCAACCTTTGACTTCAATGGCTTTAGTCTTTAACACTATATATTTCCTAATTTTAGGTGAGAGTAAATTTCTTTTTGATAGTAGTATCTTGCCCTGTACGGTATGCAATTTTATTTCTACTCAAGTTGCTCATTCTACCATTTATTATAGTACTATATATATTTAAACCAACTTGTAGAATCTTAACTAACTAAAAAAGAGTTATATATCTCGACTCCAACCTTCTATATTAATACCATGGAAAAATTAAGCGATGAAAACATTTTTGTACCAAAATGCTTGCAAGAATCTGACTTAAGCCAAGAATGCAAGGAGTTGATACCCACGTTGCCATTAGAAAAAGGTATGTTTACTGCTGCCTTACATCAATATCAAGGATTTTGGTTCACCCCAAATTTTCTCCAAGGTGATTTATCTTGTCAAAAGCACTTTCAAGCCCTTGATAATGATATTCTCTTAGTCACTAGTCCCAAATCAGGTACCACTTGGCTCAAAGCGTTGTCTTTTGCTTTGATAAACCGCAACAAATATCCAAATATTCATATCAACCATCCTTTGCTCACTACCAACCCTCATGGACTTGTTCCCTTCTTGGTTAATCTTTACTTTGACAAAGATTTTGTTCCTGATCTCCAAAAAATACCTCCTCCAAGACTCTTTTCTACACATCTACCATATGAATTATTGCCAAAATCTGTGAAAGAATCAACTTGCAAGGTGGTCTATCTATGTAGAGATCCTAAAGACACTTTTGTTTCATTGTGGCATTTCGGAAACAAGTTAGTACCACAAAGTAGTGAAGTACTTTCATTAGAAGATGCTTTTAAGAGTTTTTGTAAAGGAGTAAGTCTTTATGGACCTTTTTGGGAGCATGTATTAGGATATTGGAAGAAAAGCTTAGAAAGTTCAGAGAAGGTTATGTTTTTGAAATATGAAGAAATGAAAATGAAGCCTGATTTTTATTTGAAAGAGATTGCTAAGTTTTTGGAGTGTCCATTCTCCAAAGAAGAAGAATCTAAAGGTGTGGTTGATGATATATTAAATTTGTGTAGTTTTGAGAACTTGAGTAACTTGGAAGTCAATAAAACTGGAAAAATGTCTTATGGAGTTGAAAACAAAGTATATTTTCGTCTTGGTCAAGTTGGAGATTGGAAAAATCTTCTTACAATAGAAATGATTGAGCACATAAATACTATCACAGAAAATAAATTTGTTAAACATGGGTTGAATTTTTAAAATTTTAGAAATTATAATTAATAGTTACACGTCACACCTTAATATTTACGTCTTGTTGAAACTTAGAAATTGGGTTGGGGCTAAGATTAAGGAGAATAAATTGATTTCAATTTTTATCATCAGTCGATGGTATGTTTGTTTTGTCTGATGTTGTCATGTGTTTAGAAGTGTAATGTTCTGTGGAAGCCACTTGGTTTTTATCATGTGTTGTGTTACTTTGATTTGTAATTGAGTGTTGGTTATAGAGATGTTTGTACATCTTGTATAAGTTTGATCCTCAATCAATAAAAATAGTTATGGAAAAACATACCAATCTAATAATTTATGTAATTAGTTTCTCATATTATATTATTGATATCTCATTAAAATTGTTACACAATATAAAATTCAATTTCTTATGTAACATTCGCTGTCGTACTTAATAAACTAAAGAGTATGATAAAAGGTTAGAGAGAAACCAATATCTTTTTATTATGTGATTGACAAAGTGTCCCTTTTACACAATAATATAGTTCATATTTATATGATAACACTACCCTAAAATAGCTTTTAGGCCGTGGACTTTAGATAACGCTTCTATATCAAAGTGTTGTTATATATCACGATAAAATTTTAAATTTTAAATTTTAAATTATATATATTAGATAGCGTTTTGGAAAAAAACGTTGTCTAAAGTTAAAAAAAGCGTTGCCTAAGCCACATTTTAGGTAGCGCTTATGAAAGCGCTGCCTAAGGTCAATTGAAATAAAAATAAATAAATTATAGAAGCGTTGCTTAAACTCAAAGCGCTGCTATAGGCCCAACAGTATAAAACGCTTTCATAGGATCAAAGCGCTGTCAAAGGCTTACTTTAGAAAACATTGATATAGCCTTAAAAGAAATTTAAGAAAAAACACTACTAAAGGCCTACTTTATAAAGCGCTTTTAAGAAGCGCTTCTTAAGGCCATACATACCCATAAAACGCTGCTAAAGGATGTGTTTAGAAATCACATCATATAAACGCTGCTATAGGGCATACATCAGAAAGCGTTTTTTAATGAGAAAGCGTTGCTAAAGGTAATACATCATAAAGCGCTTTCCGAAAAGCGCTGCCTAAGGTCATTAATGTCTTATTTCTAAATTAAAAAAACGAAAACCCTAAAAATCAAAGATTTTCATTATTCTCTCAAAACAGATTTCTCTACAACACAATTATGAACATTCTCTCAAATTTCTCTGCAACCGCGATTTCTCCAACAACGATTTCTCCAACGATTCTTCAATGCAATTTCTCCAACAACGATTGATAACAGGAACACGATTCATAACTGTAAGTTCTATTTTATTTTCCTTAATTCATCAACGCGATTCATCTCTGTTTTCATATATTGTTGTAGTTGTTGTTGAAATCGTGAGAATCGCGATTCAAAGAGTTTGTTGTTATTTTAATGCATCTATTTTCTTATATTGTTGTAAGTTCTTCAACGCGATTTTGTTTTCATATATTGTTGTAGTTGTTTTCATATATCAAGAAGCAAAGACTATTTTGACAAGTTAAGACTAGTTCAAGCACTTGGAGTAGCACTTTTGTTGGGCTACTTTGGTTGAAATCTTCAACCAACACAAAAGCTCAACTTAGATATCAGGTACTTTGGTCGAAATCTTCATCCAACTCAGTGTAAAATCAAATTATTTTAGTATAAATTATAAGTTATACTACTTGATAAAAGAAAGAAAAGAGAACTTAGACATAAGAACGTATTTAATTTATTTTAATGCATCTATTTACTTCGGTTGATTAAAAATATCAACTTTTTCATTATGTAAAAGGTTCCTTTGTTTTCTGAAGTTGAAAAAATATTTTATAAAAAATGATGTTGGTTTTGTTTTTCTTTTGTTATTAGGCTAGAGATAAAGTTGTGAGTTGTGATATTCAATAGTTTGGCTTTCTAAAAGATCAGCATCTCAGGTTAGGAGTTTATAAAGTGAGGTTCATGAATATATTACAAGATACACTCAAAACCTATTTTGTTTTAAACATGTTTGAAATGGAATTAGTGAACCTAATTGTTTATGTGTAGTTGTTGCCCGATTTCATAGTCGCTTTCACAATTTCCGATTTCTCTTGTGAAGAGTGAAATTCTGATCGTTCCAAGAATCTTACATTGTGTGGTTCCAGAAGTTGATGACTTCTCTACAGGTAATTAATTATTCTTTTGTTATAGCTACATGATTAATTATAGTGTTTTTGTTTAGCTTACTTAGTAGTAAAACCATGGATAAAAAATGGATGTCTTTCAATCGATTGTCAAAAGAGTACGAGAATTGGGTATTAGAATTCGTTAAGTTTGTTGTTGAACATATCGAAAACCCCAGTCGAATGAAATGTCATTGCTTGGGTTATTGTTATGGGGGTCGGGTTGACGCAGTTGGATTGGAATCGCATTTACTGAGGAAGAAATTGATCAAAGTTATACATGTTGGATATTTATGGTGAGAAAAGTAACGGGAATGTTGAACTGGGGGATAGTATGACATATGCTTCAGACGACAATGGAAGAGATACATACGATTGTAATCGTGTCGAAGAGATTGCAGAAGCAATTGAAGAAGATCTTCAGGATTATCCCAAAATGTTTGAGAGGTTGGTAAGCGATGCAGAGAAACATTTGTATAAAGGTTGCACTAAATTCATAAGACTGTCTGCGGTATTAAAGTTGTACAACTTAAAGGCTGGCAATGGATGGTCAGATAAAAGTTTCAGAGTTATTAGTCCTTATGAAAGATATGCTTCCGGAGGATAATGTTCTTCCTAATCGAACATACAAGGCCAAAAAAATATTATGCTCTATTGGCATGAGCTATGATAAGATACATGCTTGTCCAAATGATTGCATTTTGTTTCAAAATGAATATGCATCATTAAATGAGTGTCTTAAATGCAGTTTATCTCGATATAAGAAAAAATTGTCTCCGGTAAAAGTCTTATGGTATTTTCCTATAATTTCGAGATTTAAACGCATGTTTCATAGTGAAAATGATGCAAGACACTTGACTTGGCATGCATATGAAAGAATTATTGATGGAAAGTTTCGACATCTGGCAGATTAACCACAATGGTCGAAAATTGATAATGATTATCCTGATTTTGGAGGAGAAGTAAGAAACCTTCGCTTGGCATTATCTACTGATGGAATGAACCCGCATGGTCTTCAAAGTATCTCACATACCACATGGCCTGTAAATATTATAATTTATAACCTACCTCAATGGCTATGTATGAAGCGCAAGTACATGATGTTATTTATGTTAATTTCTGGACCTAAACAAACAGTGAATGACATAGACATATACTTGACATTGTTAATCGAAGATTTAAAGATTTTATGGGAGAACGGCGTGAAGGTTTATGATGGATATAGGAAATAAAGTTTCAATTTGAGGGTGATGTTGTTTGGAACAGTTAATGATTTTTAGGCATAGAGAGATCTACCAGGGTATAGCATTAAAGGTCAAAAAGTGTGTCATGTTTGTGAAGAATACACAAATTGGAATTGATTGGAATTTTGTCAAAAGAATGTATTTCTCGGTTGTGATACGGTGGGAGAACTGACTTGAGGTTTGCGTTCGTATTCGCAAATGTTGCGGTTAGCAAGAGTCGCCACCGACTTTTTATTTTATCCTAAGGAAAGGTTAAAAAGCACAGCAAAAACCTTTTGAGATGTTTTCTTGGGTTCGGGGAGTAGATTATAGAAAGGGAAGGTATTAGCACCCTTTCTATCCATGGTTATCCATGGGCTCTTAGTTACTTGCTTAGATCACTTGCCTTTTGTTTTCAATTGTTTTAAATGGTGCTTGAGTGTGTGGGTTTTGAAAATGTTTTGAAAAGAGGCCAATGTGGTGGCAACCTTTGCAATGATCCATGTGGGGATGTATACAAAGATGTATGTCTTTTGAAAAGGTTTTCATTTGTTTTTGAAAGTTGTTTTGAAAGTGTAGTGTTGTGTGGTTTTGAAATTAGGCAAATGTTTTGTTTTGCAAGTTGATTCAAGTAACTAAGAGGTTATCTACTCCTAAATTTCTCAAAAGATTATTGCTATACTTTAACCCTTTTAACAAGTTTGCACCACCATTATATTTGGTGGGCAACCTTGTGTTAGGATGTGAAAGGGACAGGCGCGGGTCATCGTTTAGACCATAATTGTAACGACGTTAAATGTCTTTGGGCAATTTCTCTAAGGGACTTGATCATTTGTTTTGTTTGTTTTGAAAAGTTTTATCGAGGGACTATGATCATTCAAACTGTTTGCTTTGCCCAAAGATGTTCAACATACAATATGGCCCATTTATTTGAAGGCAACAAGTGGAATACCCTAGGGGGTGCAAGTGTGATTTGTGTGTTCATTTTCATGCTTGTTTATCTTGTATTAGGTCAAACTATTTTTTTTTATCGTTTTTCGCATACAAACCCTAATTCTAGCATGTTATTATTAGAAAGCAATAAAGTGCGAAATTAAAATTACTAAGCTATTACACAACCAAATATGGGAAGGGGGGTACAAATGTTCAAATGGGGATATTGACAAGAATTTAAATCTAAATTATTACAACAATTGGATATTTTGCAATGCATAATTAAATGTAAATTAAATAAATATGTGAAATGTAAAAAGAAAGTTTCTATGTGTATGTGAAAATATTATTTATGTAAAAGGAAAAAGAAAAATAAAAATGTATTTATTTTTTAGTATTTTGAACTTAGGGTGAAAAACCCTAATTTTTTTAAATAAAAGGTATTATTATCTAATTTAATTCTACTATTTATTTATTATTTATAAAAAATAAAATAAAATGAAGTGTATTGTGAAAAAGGTATTTTTTGTATCAAATATTAAATAAAATGAAAAAATCAAATATTTTTATATTTTTGTCTTAAATATATTAATAATCATATATATATATTATTAAACCCTAGATATGTATTATACAAAAATAAATATTTATTTAATATTTTAATAAA